CGCGGGCGGGGGGCTGGTCCCCGCCCCGCCCAGCGCCAGGCAGGGAGAGCCCGTTGGGAGGTGGCACCGTCCCCCGCCCGGGGTCTGCTCTCACTGCGGCTGCCAGCCAGCCCAGCTCACCCAGGCCTTCCCCGCCAGCTCTCAAACGGGGGAGGACGGAAATTAACGCTCCAGCCTCCGCCTCGCCCTCCCCATTAGGGAGGCTGGTTTACTCCGGATCATTAAATATGTATATCTTATTACACGCCTTGTTAGCGTATTGAGCGCTATTGACTGATGAGAAATTCCAGCATCGGCCTGGCCATAAATTTATCTGGAGATGATGAAGACTCAATAATCTAGCCATGCAGATAATACGAGAGGGCCTTAAAAAAGATCATTACATTCTATGTCAAAATTAAAAGTGAAATACGCTTTATGAACAGTCTCCGCGCTCGGGCCCATTCCTGGCCCTTCCCGCCCGCCATGCTCCCCGGGGTGACCGGGAGGAGGCAAGACGGGTCCCAGGCTCCCTGGGGTGACGGGACGGGTCCCCCTAGGGGCTCAGACGGGTCCCGGGCTCCCCGGGGTGACGGGACGGGTCCCCCTAGGGGCTCAGACGGGTCCCGGGCTCCCCGGGGTGACGGGACGGGTCCCCCTAGGGGCTCAGACGGGTCCCGGGCTCCCCGGGGTGACGGGACGGGTCCCCCTAGGGGCTCAGACGGGTCCCGGGCTCCCCGGGGTGACGGGACGGGTCCCCCTAGGGGCTCAGACGGGTCCCGGGCTCCCCGGGGTGACGGGACGGGTCCCCCAAGGGGCTCAGACGGGTCCCGGGCTCCCCGGGGTGACGGGACGGGTCCCCCAAGGGGCTCAGACGGGTCCCGGGCTCCCCGGGGTGACGGGACGGGTCCCCCAAGGGGCTCAGACGGGTCCCGGGCTCCCCGGGGTGACGGGACGGGTCCCCCAAGGGGCTCAGACGGGTCCCGGGCTCCCCGGGGTGACGGGACGGGTCCCCCAAGGGGCTCAGACGGGTCCCGGGCTCCCCGGGGTGACGGGACGGGTCCCCCTAGGGGCTCAGACGGGTCCCGGGCTCCCCGGGGTGACGGGACGGGTCCCCCAAGGGGCTCAGACGGGTCCCGGGCTCCCCGGGGTGACGGGACGGGTCCCCCTAGGGGCTCAGACGGGTCCCGGGCTCCCCGGGGTGACGGGACGGGTCCCCCTAGGGGCTCAGACGGGTCCCGGGCTCCCCGGGGTGACGGGACGGGTCCCCCTAGGGGCTCAGACGGGTCCCGGGCTCCCCGGGGTGACGGGACGGGTCCCCCTAGGGGCTCAGACGGGTCCCGGGCTCCCCGGGGTGACGGGACGGGTCCCCCTAGGGGCTCAGACGGGTCCCGGGCTCCCCGGGGTGACGGGACGGGTCCCCCTAGGGGCTCAGACGGGTCCCGGGCTCCCCGGGGTGACGGGACGGGTCCCCCTAGGGGCTCAGACGGGTCCCGGGCTCCCCGGGGTGACGGGACGGGTCCCCCTAGGGGCTCAGACGGGTCCCGGGCTCCCCGGGGTGACGGGACGGGTCCCCCTAGGGGCTCAGACGGGTCCCGGGCTCCCCGGGGTGACGGGACGGGTCCCCCTAGGGGCTCAGACGGGTCCCGGGCTCCCCGGGGTGACGGGACGGGTCCCCCTAGGGGCTCAGACGGGTCCCGGGCTCCCCGGGGTGACGGGACGGGTCCCCCTAGGGGCTCAGACGGGTCCCGGGCTCCCCGGGGTGACGGGACGGGTCCCCCTAGGGGCTCAGACGGGTCCCGGGCTCCCCGGGGTGACGGGACGGGTCCCCCTAGGGGCTCAGACGGGTCCCGGGCTCCCCGGGGTGACGGGACGGGTCCCCCTAGGGGCTCAGACGGGTCCCGGGCTCCCCGGGGTGACGGGACGGGTCCCCCTAGGGGCTCAGACGGGTCCCGGGCTCCCCGGGGTGACGGGACGGGTCCCCCTAGGGGCTCAGACGGGTCCCGGGCTCCCCGGGGTGACGGGACGGGTCCCCCTAGGGGCTCAGACGGGTCCCGGGCTCCCCGGGGTGACGGGACGGGTCCCCCTAGGGGCTCAGACGGGTCCCGGGCTCCCCGGGGTGACGGGACGGGTCCCCCTAGGGGCTCAGACGGGTCCCGGGCTCCCCGGGGTGACGGGACGGGTCCCCCTAGGGGCTCAGACGGGTCCCGGGCTCCCCGGGGTGACGGGACGGGTCCCCCTAGGGGCTCAGACGGGTCCCGGGCTCCCCGGGGTGACGGGACGGGTCCCCCTAGGGGCTCAGACGGGTCCCGGGCTCCCCGGGGTGACGGGACGGGTCCCCCTAGGGGCTCAGACGGGTCCCGGGCTCCCCGGGGTGACGGGACGGGTCCCCCTAGGGGCTCAGACGGGTCCCCCAAGTATTCGGGACCCCCCGGACCCAGCTCTCCCTCGGACCCGGTCCTGCTGCCTGCACACCTGGGGCGGCCGTAGCTACTCAGCCTCGTCCCCCCCGAGGCTCTCCTTGCCAGAGGAGGTGAGTGTCCCCCGAGGGACTGAGACCCGCAGGGCCCGGCCTGGGCTGCCCGGATGGGACCCGCAAGAGGCCTGCGGGCTGGACGGACACACGGAGCCGCCCGCTTCCCTCTCCCCCCAGACGGCAGGGCTGGGGTGAAGGAGGAGGTGCCCCTTGGCCGGTGGGGGCCTGCGGCGTCCCCAGTCCCTGCGCAGCCCTGCAGGGTGGATGCCCCCTCACCTGGCCTTGGGCAGCAGCTTCTCTCCACCTCCCCCGCCGGCACCACGCCCCTACCCCCGCCTCCCTGGGGGGGAGCAGGGAGCCCAGCCAGTGTGGGGAGTTTGGCCTGGCCTGGCCTGTGGTACCTCGGCCCCCAGCATCACTGCCTGGCATCAGCATGCTCTGGGCACAGGCGGCCCCCTTGGCTCCTGCCCCCCTCGCCCTGCCCGCCCCCCCTGCCCTGGACTCTGGGGTCCCCCAGCTCCTGCCCCAGCAGCCTCCCCCCCTGCCCTGCACCCCCC